CCTCAGCCTCCTGAGTAGCTGGGATTACAGGCACGCACCACCATGCCCAGCTAATGTTTTGTATTTTTAGTAGAGACAGGGTTTCACCATGTGGACCAGGATGGTCTCGATCTCTTGACCTCGTGATCCGCCCGCCTCGGCCTCCTAAAGTGCTGGGATTACAGGCTTGAGCCACCGCGCCCGGCTAGAAAAGTTTTAAGTTGTTAGCCACTCGGGTTTTAGTTTAGATTGTGAGATCTGGCTCCAGCCAATGGAGATCAGACACAGCAGGAAGGACGACCCCAAATATGTAAGGAATATTAAATTTATGTGTATTCCTTTGTTCTTTGTACTCTCCTGGCAAGATGGCTAGTGAGAGTATACTATTTCCAACGCTGGGCAACATAGTGAAACCCCCATCTCTACAAAAAATACAAAAATTAGCTGGGTGTGGTGGCACACACCTGTAGTCCCAGCTACTCAGGAGGCTGAGGTGGGAGGATCAGTTGAGCCCTGAAGGTCAAGGCTGCAGTGAGGTATGATTGTGCCACTGCACTCCAGCCTGGGCAACAGAGTGAGACCTTGTCTTCAAAAAAAAGAGAGAAAGGAAATGATTTCTGAGCTTCATTGCTATGAAGAAGATGGAACCAGGGAATGAGATAAAACCTCGGGCGTAGGGCAGCAGTGGGATCATTTCACCCAGGGAGGGCCAGAAGGAACCCTGAGAGGAGGTAATAGATTAGCAGGGAGGTGACAGCCAGAGAACGCCCCAAGGAGAAAGTGACAGTTCAGCTGTCGGAGGAGGTGACAGCCAGGGAGAGGAGGAGGGCCCCCGGGAGGAGGCGACACTGGGACACTGGAGCTGAGGCCTGAAGGCCGCCAGCTTCGCAGGTACCTGCGGGGCGTGTTCCGGCAGAGGGAGCAGCAGGTGCAATCGCCCTTCCCTGTTAGCCTCCTAGGACTCCGGGCCTGCAGAGAGCCTTCTGGCACCACACAAATGTGGTTGCCGTGTTTTTCCCTTTTTATTCCGTCCTCCCCTACCCCCGCCAACTCCCTGGCCTGAATGCCGCTCCTGTGACCCTTCGAGGCGAGTGACCTCGAGTGACCTCGGGAAAGTGGCACTCTGTGCCTCAGTTTCCTTATCTGGAAAACTGGCCTTGCTCGCGGAGACTCCCCTCCCTAATTCTGGGCAGTAGCCTGCATAAGGTAAGCCCTCAACAAACTCTTGCAGAATAAAGGACCGGCTTGTTCCCAGCGCCTGGCTCAGTGCGTGTAAGCCGCTACACCCTACGGCATAAGCTGTTCCCATTTTACAGACAGGGAAACGGAGTCTGGGGAGGACGAAGGCTCAGTGTCGGGGGCGGGGCTAGGCGTTGGGGGCGGGGCGCAGGGCGCGCACGCTGCGTCTCCGGCCTGGGGGCGCGCACGCCGAGCGCCTGCTGGGGGCGTGGTCGGGGCGTGGCCTCACCGGGCCAGGAGGCTATAGGGGCCGCAGCTGCCGCGCCAGTCGGAAAAGGAGCCGGTCGAGGCGCAGCCCGATCCCGCCATGGAGCAGCCGAGGAAGGCGGTGGTGGTGACAGGTACGCAGGCTGACAGGGGCTGTAGCGGCAGCAGCCGGGGGCAGGGGCGGGGCCGGGCGGGGCAGGTGCTGGAAGTCCTCCCAGATTTGGAAGGTGTCATCGCCCACGGGGGCCCCGCGCAGCCTAGGCTTCCTGGAAAGTGGAGGAGAAGGAGCCTCGGGGGTCCCAGGGTCGGGAGTCAGGGCAGTCAGGCGCGGGGGTTGGGGGGCCGGACGAGTGCCCCGCGCGGCACAGGCCCTCCTGGCGTCCTTCCCTCCCAGGTGGGGACAGTGACCCACTTGGCACCTGCGTGTTCTGCTGCCTGGCCCGCCGGCTGGACCGGACCCCTCCTCCCTGCCCTTTCCGAGGTCCAGCCTGTCCCTCCCCACCCCCCCGTCAAATCCCGGCCCCAGGGGACAAAGGCCAATTTGCGGGCAGGAAGTGTCCCGGTGACAAATGAACCTCCCAGTTACTGCTGGCTGTGCCCCGCGCTCGTGGGAGCTGCTCCCCCAAGGCAGGGGCAGGTGGGGGTCCGGGGACCTCAGGCACCCGGGCTCTCCCAGCTGTCCCAGGGACTGTCTTCAGCGGAAAGCTTTTGTGTTTTGTGCTGGGGCTGTTTGTTGGTGAGTCAGGGCCCCCGCTGTCACCGACTCCCCCCACCCCCAAACCAACTGTTTCTCCTCCCTGAGACTCCGCCTCGGGGCCACGTGGGGCGCGAACTTCCGCTGGCGCCTCAGCATCTAGGAGTGCGGTGGGGGGTCAGGGTGAGAAATCCAGCGAAGGTGCACACAGGTGTTTTGTGGCTATTGAAGGGAGGTTGGGGCTGATGCTGGGGTCTCTCGGGGAAGAAGGAAGAAAGCAGGCACCCGCTTAACAGGTGTGTATAACTGGGAGGAGGGTCACTGCCCCACCCCCTCCAGCCTTCCTTCATCTGGTTATTTATTCCAGCACTTTTTGCGTTAGCTGATTACACCTTCACTGTCTCCATTGTGGAGAAAGGGAAACTTAAGGCTCACAGAGGTCATGCACCTTGCACGGTGCTGGGCTGGAACTCAGACTTCGGCTGTACACAAGGATAGGGTCAGGAGGTCCCCTCAGCCACAGCCCCTACCTGCTATCCCAGGCTGCAGTATCTCTGCATAGCCTTCATATCCGTGGGATCCCTGGCCCAGATGAACCGTACTTTTTAGGCAGTATGACTCGGTGATTAGAGGCTGAAGCCACGGACTCTCCTGAGTCTGAATTTTTTTTTTTTTTTTTTTCCCAGACCGAGATTCAATCTTGTCACCCAGGCTGGAGTGCAGTGGCCCAATCTTGGCTCACTGCAATCTCTGCCTCCCAGGTTCAAGCAATTCTCCTGCCTCAGCCTCCCAAGTAGCTGAGATTACAGGTGCCTGCCACCACACCCAGCTAATTTTTGCATTTTTAGTGGAGACAGGGGTTTCAGCACGTTGGCCAAACTGGTCTCGAACTCCTAACTTCAAGTGATCCTCCTGCCTCGGCCTCCCAAAGTGCTGGGATTACAGGCCTGAGCCACTGCGCCCAGCCCCAGGTCTGGATTTGAATCCCAGCTCTTTCACCTTCTTGCTGTGTGTCCTTGGGCAGCTAGCTCCACGTATCTGTGCCTCAGTCCCTGCTCCTGGAAACTGGGCCCAGGAAACAGCCTTGCCTGAAAGGAGATGTGGCCAGGCTGAGTCAGATCACTTAGCACACAGCCTTGGCGACTGTCGTGTTTTGGAAAGGGGGCCTGGAATTTGAGCTTGCAGGGAGGAGGGTGACAAGGTGCCACCTAGACAGCCTGGCCTGGGAAGAACCCGCACACGTCCCCAGAGGGCTCATTCCTTATCCGGTGCCAATTCAGGACATTTTGGACAGTGACACAATAATTGTAGGTTGGGTCGAGGGGAAGAGAGAAAGCGGTGACAGGATGGGGACAGCCTTTTCGGAGGCAGAAGAGACTGCTGGCCCCTGGCTGGGCATGAGGGGCAGGCAGAGGTGACAGTGGAAGGGACTCAGGGACTTCAGAGCAGACAGGTGCAGGATGGCAGCTCTGACAGGCCTCCAGGTGCTCCCAGAACTCAGGACCAGGCCCCGATGTTGTCCCTGGCAGTTACGCCTGGAAGCTCCTTTCTTGCTTCTCCAGGTGGCAGTAGGGCCAGGCCAGGGGCAGACTGGAAAGGACCACTCTTGGGTAATATATTGCTTTTCCTGTTTTTTCAGGATTTGGGCCTTTTGGGGAACACACCGTGAATGCCAGTTGGATTGCAGTTCAGGTAACTTAGATCCCGAGTGGGGAGTCAGGCTTGGAGCTGGGCACCCACCCCCCAGAAAGTTATGGCACCCAAGAGAGTCTCTTCTTCTTCTTTTTTTTTTTTTTTTTTTTTTTTTTTTTTGTGAGAAAGTCTCTTCTTAACAAAAAAAAAATTTTTTTTGAGACGAAGTCTCACTCCGTCACCCAGGCTAGAGTGCAGTGGCGCAATCTCGGCTCACCGAAACCTCCGCCTCCTGGGTTCAAGTGATTCTCCCACCTCAGCCTCCAGAGTGGCTGGGATTACAGGTGTCCACCACCACGCCCAGCTAATTTTTGTCATTTTAGTAGAGACAGGGTTTTGCCATGTTGGCCAGGCTGGTCTCGAACTCCTGACCTCAAGTGATCCGCCTGCCTCGGCCTCCCAAAGCGCTGGAATTACAGGTGTGAGCCACCGCGGGCGGCCAGCTCTTACAAAACAATGTCAGATCCACATATCCTCCCTGGAGCGTATGTGTGTGGAGCACTTGTTTGCAGCCCAGTGCTCTGAATTCTCCCAATAATCCCTGAGAAATAGGTGCAGTTACTCTTGCGCCCACTTAACAGAAGAGGAAACTGAGGCCCAGAGGAGAAGACGGGAGTTCTCTGAGGTCACACAGCCAAGAAGTGGGAGTGGCATTGCTTCAGAAGTGCCTCAGGCCCCGGCCAGAGGCTACAGGTGTGGGACTGCAGGGCCTGAAGATTAGGAAGGGGGTGTTA